GGTAGAGCGACTTGATGTTGGGGAAGGTCGAGGGCACGCCCTTGTTCAGCTTGCCCCGGAGATAGGCGTCCGCCTGTGTCTTGAAAGCTTCGCCCTGAAGGAAGTCCAACGGTATCCGCCTCGCAGCATCGTTGCGCTGATTCTTGCTGGCGAAAGACTGGTACAGCTCGTTCAGCTTCTCGATATCGGCGTCGTTGGACCGGTCTAGGCCAAGTGCCTTCTCCAAGCCGTCGAAGTATGCGCGGTACTCGCTGTTCCTGCTCAGAAGAATCCTGTATGCCTTCTCAGCCTCCTCTTTCCGTCCCAACTCGAGGAGGTATTTCGCCTTGAGTTCCAACGCCGCGGTGCGATCCAGACTGACGCGCACCACGTCTTCCAAGTGGTTCAGCGCACGTTCCACGTCGCCCGACTCGTATATTATCGTGTTCTTGTAGAGCGTCGCTTCGGAGTGCTCGAGGTCCGACTTGGCGGGGGGCTGTTTGAGCGTCTCTTCGTACGTCTTGAGGATGTTTTCGGCCTCGGCGTAGTTGCCTGACAGATGGTAAGCGACTGCCAATGCCGTCCAGTTCTGGCGCAGTTGTGGGCGCTCCTGCATCATCTTCCGCCGGCTCTCAATGTATCCGTCGTAGTCGCGGACTTGGCACTGGAGAAGGGCGAGGTCGCGGAGGATGTTCAGCGATTGCGGTTCTATGCGCAGGGCCATCTTGTACGACTTGATTGCCTCGGGGTAGTTCTTGACCGATCGCCATAATAGGCCGTAGACGTGCCAGCAAACGTGCGACTTCATGTCGTTGCGGAGGGCTTCCTTGCAGAGGGCGAAGGCGTCGTCGCCCTGGCCCTGGGAGTTGAGGATCAGGGCCTTCATGGCCTGGGTGTCGCCATGGGTGGGGTATTTCTTCAAGATCTGCTCGGCAGCTTTGAGGCCTGGCGGGGTCAGCGGTCGTGCCCGTCGTCGTCCACGTGCAATTGGCGCCTACCCTTCTTGTACAGCTTGCCCTCGTAGAATTTGATGAGCGAGCGGAAGAGCGTCGCCTCCTTGCTGGGCAGTTGTTGCGGCATCGCGGCGGTCGTGTGGTTGGTAGGCGCGGAGCGTCAACGAGGTTCCGGTGCGAACAAGTTGCGATCGGAATTGGCGAGTCGACGCACGTGCGACGGGACCGTGGGGGATTAGGGTGGATGGAGGATGATTTAGTCGATGCAGTATATCATCGCGACAATGGGTGTGGAACAAGCAGCCGCGGGAATGGTGGCTGGTGGTCTCAATGTGGCACTACTACGTGTGTGTGGGGAGCTTGAATTTCAGATGTTCCAGTGCTATGACCACAGCGCCCGCACCTCGACCAAGTCACGCACGTGCGCACCCCGCCTCATGATACCTAGGTATCGTTAAACGTCTTGCCTTAGACTTGTATTTGGACAAGTATCTCCAGTCAATTGAGTCGACTATGAGAATACACAATATTTATACACACCCCAGCAAAAGCCTTCTGGATCTACGTACTCTCCAACAGCGCTTTACTTCGACAGACGTCCTGATCGCCTTTTTGCAGTCGCATCATCGCCGATGACCTCTTCTTTAGCAGTAGCAGCCTTCTTCTGCTTTGCGGTACCGTTTGCAGTAGTCTTGCGTTTCTTGACCGGCTGTGTCTCTTCAGCGTCAACAACCTCTTCTTCCTCGCTTGCTTCCACGTCTACTTTCGCCTTCTTGCTGCCACGCTTTGCTCTTACTGGGAGTTTCTCCTCCGTAGCATCAACGTCCTCCTCTTTGACCTCTGCCTTGACCTCCTTCGCATTCTTACGTCCTCGCTTTGGCTTAGCCGGTGCCTCCTCTTTAGCATCATCGGCATCTTCTTCCTCTTCTTTGGTAGCCTGAGCCTTTCTCTTGCTACCCTTCTTAGGTTTCGCGTCCTCTACGTCTTCTTCCTCTTCCTCCTCCTTCTTGACAGCCTTGGCCTTCTTTTTGCCACCCTTTTTAGGTTTCGCATTTTCCTCGACATCGTCCTCGTCCGCGCCCTCCGACACGTCACCAGCAACAGCTGCCGTCTTCTTCTGGACACTCGGTACAATGGCTGAAGTTCGCCCACCGACCTTGAGGAACGTAATCTTCTCGCCGGTGGGGAGTTTCTGGGCTTCCTTCTTACCCTTGCCCCAACGGTGCTTCATCAACCAATCTTTGGGGAAGGCGTCCGAATCTCCGTTAGCTTCCACGGCGGTGTCGCAAACGTACATGATAGCATCGTGCAGTCGTTTGATCTGCTCATCGCTGAAGGTGTTGCTGTACTGCTCGGGATGTAGACGAGCCTGGTACATGACCTCGTCACCGACCCAGTTCCCTATGCCAGACACGTTTGCTTGGTCAAGGAGCAATGCTTTTACGGGTACCTTCTTGCTCCGCAGCTTCTTGCTAAGCCAATCCACCGTGAGGATATCCTTGTCGATTACAGGATCTGGCCCGTTCTCTTTCAGTGGTGTAGTCTTCCTCATGTCTTCAGCAGCGGCATCCACCAGTCTTACACGAGCAAGCCGTCTTGCGTCTACCAAGGCGACCTCGTTCTTGGAGTCTTTCAACTGCAGGATGAACTTCCAGTACTTGGGTGGCCATTCCGCCTCTTCAGGTTTCGCCGGACGATAATGTGCTGAATCGTCATTGCTGAATTTCTGAATCAGGTACACAAAGTCAGCATATGTCTCATATGCAGTCCGTATAGAAGTCACGAACCATCCAGCCTGCCATTCCAAAGTGCATCAAAGGATGTGGCGGCGAGTCCATGACCAGCCAGAAGTATTTACCCTGCTGTCGTGCGTCTACTATCTTTTTTCCGGTCAAGGCCTCCTGGAAGGCGGATGCAGACGTCCCGACTTTTCCAAAGACGATCTGGGTATTGTGAGTCGACGTTCCATCAGAAAGAAGGGAAAAACGAACATTATCTTCCTGTGCCATGACATTTTTAATCGTCTTGCCAACGGCATGTTTCTTCAAGAAACCGACAATGCGCGCAACTTCCGCGATCTACGTGATATCAGCAACTTTCGTGCGCGCGCGAAATGGACGCGTCCTGACCTCAGGCATGGCGCTGAAACTTGCGCAGAACTCTTGATTGTTTCGTAGATGTAGTAATTAGAAGGAAAGAGCTCGAGAATGATGCGCAATACGTCAATCGAGGAAGCTATAGTCGTGGTTGAGCTCGAGCACCCTGAGGTCGCGCGTCGCGGATCCAGGCTTAGCGCACGACGCGTTCTCACGGGATAAGCCCACTACGTCACCACTCGTGTTCCATCTCATCTCATCTCTCATCATCTTCGTGCCATCCATCGATATGGTTTCTCCACCAAATCCCGAATTCAATGCCGACTTACTCACGTTCTCCGCGCGCACGCCAGGCTGGACCTGCCTTTCTGGGACGCCCCGCAATGCCGGAGGGCGGGATCGGAATGACATCGACACACGATAAGACGCGATTTACATAATCCTCCGCCCTACACGCCGCCCACATGTACTTCAGCTCGAGGCTTTGTCTTTGCAACACTTGCAATCTGACAATACGGGCATCATGCGGTGGAATTGGGTAGCTGTTGTCGCAAGTGCGGCTTGCGTCTCTTCTCATGCAACGCATCACGTCGAAGACCAACAGGCCTTCTCCCAAGACCGACTAGATGAATTGGAGAGGAAGTGGGGTACAGACGTGAGTATCGTTCCAGCAGCATCTGAGTATTAGCTGACAATTGAATAGTGGGGGTTCTCTGGCATCTCAACTTTCGCTCACCTACCGCATACGCGCTGCTTGACACACCCAGAGACGACTTACGATATCGCCATCCTCGGTGCGCCTTTCGACACAGCAGTCTCCTACCGACCCGGTGCTCGATTCGGACCCCGTGCAATCCGCGCCGGCTCAAGCCGACAGACATCCTTCCGAGGCTTCAATCCCCGAGCCAACCTCAACCCGTACACGTCATGGGCAAAGATCGTAGACTGCGGAGACATACCAATCACGCCCTTCGACAACACGTTGGCGCTGAAACAAATGAGCGAGGCCTTTCTCGAGCTGGGAAAAAGACCTGCGACGGAGAAGAGCACGGAGAGCGGGGTGCAGTATCTCAAGAAGCCAAAGCTGCTGACTCTTGGCGGAGACCACAGCATTGCACTTCCGGCGCTGAGGGCCTTGAAAGATGTATATGGGCAGCCGATTGCCGTGGTACACTTTGACGCCCACTTGGATACCTGGCATCCGGCGAAGTACCCGTCCGCTTGGATCGACCAGGAAGATCCTTCTACACAGTCGTTCTTCAATCATGGTAGCATGTTTTGGATTGCAGCCACTGAGGGTCTGATCGCAAACGACTCGAGTGTACACGCGGGACTGAGGACACGACTGTCGGGCGACGAGCCAGAGGACTACACCGACGATTCGCAACAAGGCTGGATTCGCATCGCAACAGACGACATCGATGAAATCGGAGTAAAGGGCGTCATTACCTCAATCATGAACCGCGTGGGCACAGAAATGCCTGTCTACCTCAGCATCGATATCGATGTGATTGATCCTGGACTCGCACCAGGCACGGGCACACCCGAACCAGGCGGATGGACCACGCGTGAGCTCATCCGCATATTGAGAGGTATTGAAGGCATGAATGTTATCGGTGCGGATATTGTTGAAGTCAGTCCCGCGTATGATGGCGCAGCAGAAACGACAGGTATGGCAGCGGCGCAGGTCGCGTACGAGGTACTTACGAGTATGGTACGAAAGGGACTTATCGAACAGGCACGAACGAAGGTTACAACGCACGAAGACAAGGATGAGTTGTAGACCACAGCACATTGATCGCAGAAGAAACATATATGAAGAGTATCAATGAAGAATAGTGTAAGATACATTATATACAAAGAACCCTCGATACGGAGCCAATCATCCCGTGAGCCCTCTAACCCGATCCAAAAAAAAACGCCATGCAACAAAACATTGACCCAAAAAGTAACTCCCCAAGGCGAAACGCGTCTAAATACCAGAATCAGTCTGATTGTACGGCCTATCCCCATCCGGCGCGCTTCCCTCCGCCCAATAAGAATCCCATTCATCACACCCCTGCTTCAACACACTCGTATCGCCCAGCTTACCCTGAATCTCACTCATGCGCTCCATAAACTGGAGGCTGAGTCCCTGGCTCGCATGCCATGCAATGTGACTAGAAGTAAAAGGTCAGTATATGTCTCAAATGCACTTTCATACAGCGAGGACTTACCAGTGCATAATCCACATGCCGGGGTTATCAGCCGGGAAAGCAATGAGCATGTAGCCGCCAGCAGGCAACAAAGCAGTGTCACGCCTCGTCGGGTTGTTGAAATTGAGGCCGTTGGTGGATCCGTCCCAGGTACCTGCGCCGCGGCCCACGATGTAGTAGTCGTGGCCGTGGAGATGGATGGGGTGGGGAAGGGCGATCTTAGAGGTCGACTGGATGTACCACATGTACCAGCCTTCTTTGTCCATGGTGTACACGTTGCCGTTTGGACCGATGTTGCGGGAGCCTCCAAGCACAGTCTCAAGCGAAGGATTGTTCCAGTCCACGACGTGGGGCGTACCGTCGATTAACCACCGGAAAAGGTTGTCCTTCGCAGGGTCGGCAAACGAGTCTACGCTCATCTTGTGGTTTTGGACCTCGCCCATTACAGATGTGGGCACGGTGTTGGGGACGAAGGGGATGAGGTTGGATGAGGACTCGTCGTCGCAGCCTGTGCGTATTGTGACGGAGGACTTGAAGGTGGGGTTTGAAGTGCTGGATGCGCCGTCGTAGTGCAGGATCGCGCCGACGGGCTTGCCGGCTGACGCGATCTTGTTGCTGCCACAGCTGCCGGTTACGACGCGGAACCAGTAGTTGTCGACGGTTTGGTTGGCGGTGATGACTACGTCGTACCGTTGACCGATCTGCAGGGTCAGTTGGTCGGTGACGTAGGATTTGATGGGCACGAAGTCGGAGGTCAGGACTGTGAAGGGGTGGCCGTCCATGGACACGCTGAAGGTGCTGTCTACGGCTGTGTTGATGAGGCGGATGCGGTACTTCTTGCCTTTGACGACGTTTATCCTGGCGTACTTCCCGTTGTCGTTTGCGGCGTTGATGTGTGTGCCGTTGACGAGGATGTTGTCGGGCGAGGGGGGTCCAATCTTAGAGTGCTGGGCGACTTCGTTCAGTGTGAAAGCGGGTACGTAGTACCAGTCAGTGATGGGGAGAGTACCCAGGTCGACGTCGTAGTTGGCAGTAGCTGGTCCATCGATGATCATGGTACCGACAACACCATCACCATATTGGGCTGAGAAGTGAGAGTGGTACCATGTTGTACCGAACTGAGTGGCCCTGAACTTGTACTGTCGGGTTCTTCCAGGAGCGATCGGGCATTCGGTGATTCCCGGGACGCCGTCGTCCTGGCAGGAGTTCAGCTGTCTAATACCGTGCCAGTGGATACCGGTTCCGTTGTGCTCGAGGTTGTTCTTGACGTTGATGATGACTGTGTCACCCCACTTTGCTCGTACGAGTGGTCCAGGATATTGACCATTGATGAGCATCATCTCCTTGGAAGTACCACTTCCATCAGGATTGGCCCTGGTAACATTGGAGATCTCGAAGTTGTACTGTCACATGTCAGCACCTATTCGAGCAGGAATTCTTGGATATACTTACAGTCACGGTGGTGCCATCCGGAGGAGACTTGGCATCGAAGTCGGTGGCAATGCTGTAGCCATTACTCCAGCAGTTTCGTGTCCGTGCTGTGTTGGTGCAAGCACCATCTTGCCTCTTGACAATCTGGTCAAAAGTTGGGAACTCATCGGATAGTGGTTCTGCCCGTAGAGGACCAGCGAGTGCAACTGATCCAAATGAAAGCCATGCGGCTAATGAAGGAAACAACATGATGGTGTGAATGCAATATATGAAGGCGAAGAAAGAACGGTACCGGGTCGGTATATATGAAGAGAAGCTGACCAGGCCAATGGATGTCGAATGGTTCCTGGAGTTAATCAATGTAGGGCTGGGGCTGACCAGAAAACAGGTGCCATTTATATGAGACACATCCGAAAGACGCCCCCAAAGTGTAAGTCATCAAATGGTGGCGGTAATCTGAGCTTCGCCATGGGTATTGCCCAGGGCGAAGTCAGCCAGCGCCTTCTTTGCCGTGACACCGACTTTTTCTCGCTTAGTGCTGCATGTCAGTTGGACCCGCGTGGTCCAGGTGGTGAGATCGACGCCAGGGCGCCCTAGAAATGCTCATCTCGTGCTATGACACGGGATGGACTTGAACGATCCCGGCCGTGGATAGCTGATGATGAGGGCCGATTAGGCAAATGTCTGGCCTCGGTAGATGCAGCGACCGATGGGCTGTAGCCCAGCTATGGCAGTGGCTCGATTACGTCCATGTCGGCGAGTGGGTAGGAGCGAGGCGAAGTCGATGAAGCCAAGATCTCAGACGGTGCACGGATGTAGCTCCTAATCGGGATTCCGGTATGAAGGGACCACACCAGCGCTAAGTCAGTGGTAGTCCCAACTTTACTCGAAACGGTGCGTGATGAGCGACCTACTCGTGTTGGAGCGTTTTCTCAGGTGAAGGATCCTAGGAGCTCGCGTAAGGTGATGGACCCTTGTCGGATGCAAGATCTATTGAATTACAGATCGGGTACTCCACAAGATACGGCCGCTACTCGAGCATACTCTGTGCTCACCGGAGACGAGAGCCCACATGGAGTGGTTAAATGTGGGTACTGACGTTGTGTAGGATGTGACTTAGGCCTGATGCAGAATCTGTTTGCGACGTGACAAAAGCATCGAGAACGCATGCTACTCGTGCGAAGCATGTGGTGACCCACGCGATCGGAAGACGGGAATACAACCGTCCCATCCGGTACCGAGGAAGCTTACCTAGGCGGTTCCAATCAAATGTTGAGCTCTGTTACAAGAATAACATCGTACGGCATATGCGGTTATTGAGCAGGGACCAGCCAAATCCAAAACCCACTGGTTCTTCGAAATTGTACCCCAGCCGAGGTTATAGTCAGGCTGACAGAAGTATCCAAGACAGCGGTATCCCTTCCGGTCGCTTGCTGACGTTGAACGTCCAATTTGGACACTGAGACCCCCTTGGGCTGTGGCGTAGACCGACTCCAACATACACGGGCTTATCAGGATCTTCATAAGCTACATGGTGTAAGAGGACTACATGCTCGGTATGGCATTCCAATTATTCGCCGACTGCAGGTTAGCATGATGTGCCTTCCATGCATGCTGTGTAGCTCGACATGCGGGTTCCAGGGATGGCCTTCCGACCCGTGAACTTACTCTGTGGCTTCAAATAACCAAGATCCAGGTCATTCATCCAGATGAACGGCCGACAGAGCGGCCGCTAGAAAAGCTTGTGACTATCGCATTGGATGCGACTATCTCGGACACATGCGCCCGCGAATAGACACGAACGGGGAGAAGGAAGTGCGAACTTCAACGCTCGGATCGGCATGCGCGGCTGCTGGAAACGCGCTGGAAACAGGAGCGCGGGTTCATCAGCGACTGGCCAGCCTATCGTTAGTAAGTTCGACCAACTGAGCGGGCGGGTTTGCTGCAAGTTGGTGCAAGAATATGCGGACGTTGGGGCCGAGTGAAGTGACGTGAACACTAAGATCGGTTCAGGGGTGTGGGCGCTAACCTAGCACGGACCGGCACTAATTTCAGTGGCTTTCCATAGCGGCCGCACACACATGGGTGCCTTCGCCTCCTCCACTAAGCACCACTTTCTTCCTTCTGCAGAGCGATGCGACGCCTTACGAGGGCTAAGTACTGATGAGGCGCAGAACTGCGCTTGACGTCTTCACGAATTGCTGACCGCCCGCCCCGCCCACCTGTTCCAGTCTGTCACAAGCTCGCTTCCGTGTTGACACTGTTAGATCAAGCACTTGCCATGACTATTTTCATTGCATCTTCGATCCATGTCGGCTTACTCGGGGGTCGGGGCACAGCTCAGTGCGCAAAAGATAAGCCGTGTTTGTGAAGAACCTGCTGGGCTTGATCATCATACAAGGTACAAAAGAGGTCATGGCCCACTGACTCTGCATACCACATCCAGCGTATCATACCTGTACTTTCAGTCGTTGACTTGACTTGCTCCAATATGTACTCTCGTTCTATATTCCTCGCGGTGGCTGCCGCCTCCATCACCCTCGTCAAAGCCGATGACCCCTTCGGGAGCTCTGGTGGTATCTGTTACGCCTATGGTGTTGACTTTATCGATGAAGGAAGCTACTTCATCGACTCAGAGTCTACTGAAGATTTCTCTGCTGTAACATACTTCAGAGGTTGCAACGCGGATGGTTTGGCAGATGTCGTGCTCGTCGCGCCTGACGTGGAGGATACCAGCGGCGAAGAATACTTGTGCGACAAAATTCCAACGACACCTGACGATACGAACCAAGTGGCAGACTGTCCTATCAAGAAGAATCAGATGAGCTCAGGACACTGGCTACTTCTGATTCTGGGAGACAATGAAGCCAACGAGGACGGCTCGAATGGCCAGCCTTTCGCATGGCAGAGAGGTATGTCTTCTTTTGTTCAATAACCGAATAACCCATTTACTAACGAATCTAGATCTCTACCTGACTGTCGGCACGAAAGTCACCAGCACGTACACTGCAACAACCACAGACACCAAGACCGAGACGCCTACTATCACTCAAACTGTCACTACCACCTCGACTGATGTCGTCACTGCTGGACCATTCTCGACTGTCACGATGCCTAGTGGCACCGCTAAGAAGGTCAAGACAATTAGGCCAAAGGCAGTCACTGAGACAACTACCAAGACCATGACTCGCACCAGGCACTCTTGGACCAAGAGCTTTGGCGTCACCACTAAGACTGTCGAAGCCACGTGCACTACCCCGGCCCACGTGGGCAAGCCTGACAAGCCTTGCGAGTACTCGCCCACCAAAGTTCACGCGGCGGCTATTGAGACACCTACCACCATCCCCAAGTTCCACCGCTGGGTTCGCAAGGGCGACCGCGAGGTCGACTACGAATGGGCGCGTGCCCGCGTCGAAGCCGCAAAGCAGAGACGTGCGGAGAAGGCTGGACAGGTTCAGCGCCGCGCTCCTGATGCTCCCACGACAACTGTCACTTACGAGACTCCTGTCGCAGTACTCGCTACTGTGACTGCGCCAGCTATCACCACAACCGAGAGTGTTCTTCTCACAGAGTCTGCTACAGAGACACTTCCTCCTCCTACTGTTCTTTCCGGCCTCCTCACCTCCACTACCACGCTGCCGACTCCAACTAAGACCAAGTCCAAGTTTGCCTTTACTACTACGACCGAGGTCATTACTTTCGGTCACGTCTGGACCACGACAACGACGGTACTTCCTACCTCGTCAGTAAGCGCATGCAAGAAGCACGGCGGGCATTTTTGGTGGATCTAGTGAACCATATTGGCGCTAAATTCGGGCCGTTGACTATTTGATTTCTATTCTGCTGTTCTTCAAGCGCGCATTACATTTAATTACAGTGCACGGCACAAGATAGACGAATTCATGACTACTCTTCACTACCAATGCTTCCAACATTCTTGCGATTGCCGTGTTTGTGAACATGACCACAGCACTGATGCCTCCGCTTAGTCACAGGCGCCTTGCATCGTCAGCTCACCCGCGTCTCTTGAGCTGTTAACACGTCACGTCACAGTATGCACCTCGGTACACTCGGATCTGCTCCCTGCCATGCAAGCAACAATGAGTCCGGCTCGCAAGGTAGAAGTCCAAGTAAACTTACTACGCCACGGCAACCGCCTTAACGCCCTGAGATAGGCGCTAACATGCTGACTCGTGCGCAGGCAAATCCCTGTTCATGTGGCTTTCTCACCTGCGGCCAGCACAATACCATACATGTGCAAGCACGCCTCTTCTCTCGACGTGACACGAACCAAAGTCCCGGCATAAAGCCACATCAATAGCCCCGGAGATGGGAACACAAGGGTCGTGCAAGCCTCCGGCCGCATAGCGTGCCGCCGTGTCCACCATTTCACGCCGTATCGTGGCAAAACATCGAATCATGTGGGTCTACCATCGTTGACGGCTCGGTGGGGTACACGCCCGCTAATTCGATCGCTCCAGGGTATGGATCTCCTCTCCGACGTCCGAACGCCTGGTGCTAGTGTGCGTGTCATAGCAGATAGCGAGAAGAGAATTTTGAAGCCTGGCCCCAAAGAAGAGATGAGCGGCACAGAGAGGGCAACAAGGGCGGTTTGTGGCAGATAGATGGCGATGGCAGAGGCACGGCAAGTGCGCGCCGTCTGACTGCTCATCGATGGAATCAGCACATTGCCGTGTTCCTGCTTCCCGCCCTCATCGCAGGTCGCACAGTCACCTCTCCGCGACCGACCAAGGCGGATGATGTGGCGTAAGCCTCACCGATGACATAATTCTGGCCTCCGGAGCGACAAGCGTAAGCCCAGCGACCGTATGTCTCAGCAAAATGCGGCGTCCAGAGGGCCAAGAAGAGTTTCAGCTTTTGGACCTCGTGTCGTGAGTCAAACCTGCCAGCGATGTCACAGTACCTTCTCGTGTTTATCCCCGAGAAGGGCCAAAAAGCTTAACCTTTTCCTTGGGGCTGCAGCATAACAGACGGGTTATTTTTCTTTCCTTTGTTCGCTACCAAAAGACAAGGCCCTGCGCGTGCAAGGATCCGGCATGGCTCAACAGCATGTTCACTTTCCCTGCTATCGTCCGATGCAGTCTCGCATGTGGGCGCAGCGGCTTACCTCCGATGACAAGCGAGTTGTCAACACTGATGCGCCCCGCAGTCAGTTCCAAGGTTTTCACCACAGACGAAATGTCCACTTTCCTGCTGAAAGCTCGCGATCACACATCGTATCATGGTGGAGCAGTGGGTTTCGAGACTTCAAGCTCCAGAGGCGTATTTTTAGCACGCCTTACATTGCTAGCGGTGCGGATCGGAACGACAACTGGAACCTTAACACGAGGATGGTAGCCAACTACCGCCTTGGTATTTGCAGCGTCGCGATCCCATTGGGTGGACCTAGGCGAACAGCTAAGCATCCAACGGGTGGCCTCGCATCGTATTTTCGCCTTCGTTTTCTAGTTCTGGAACAGCTGGATGTGCTTTTTGAACTTCATGCTTGTAACTGCCTGGCTGACTCATTGTACCAAGCTTTTTGTCTTGACAGTTGCTTTTGCATACTTCGCGTGGCAAAGGGTCCATCAACCAAACTTCTATCGTGTCGGTACCGAAAAAACAGAAACGAAACAATTTCTGCTCCGGTAGTGGACTCGATTACCTAAAGCAACTTTCGCATTCGGTGGTAGATCTGCGAAACGTCAAAAAATATTCCCGAGGCCAAGTACGGAAGCCAAGATGGCCGAAAGTTTCCGAGCCGGTGAACGTGGAGACCACGAAGACGGTTTGTACTGGGGAGTCAGCTAAGCTCAGTCCTGCGGTTTCTGTGGAGTATTGAGGCTCACGAGATGCGTCTATCAACTTTACCCTATCTGGAGGTGTAACGCGAATAGCGATGGGAGTGGAGTTGTGGAGTCGGCAAAGCTTTTGTGGGTATGTGGAGTTGACTGTCAAGGCATCCCTGGTGGGCGCCTGGCAAAGAACGTCGGCATGTGTATAGTCAACAATTGACTTCGCTTGACCTTGGCTGTGAAGGCACGTATTCACCAGCTTGGCACTGACAGACTCGCGAAATCGATAACGACAAGGTACTGTGCTGACTGAGCTCCGCAGCAAGGCTTCCATGCGCTTGACTCGTCGAGGTATGCACTGGACCCCAGTTCAGTCATCAGCCACTCAGACCGCATGCTTACATGTCTACCCACTGACAGGGAAAAGCCTGACCCAGCGGGTCGTGTTGATCTCCTAAATCACGAGTGTGAGCATCCAGGCAGCAATAAGTCCAAGACATTGACCGACTCTTCGCTCGTGATGCAATGCTTCATCAAGCCACAACGATACTTCGCGATCGGTACCATCGCCCCGAGGTCGTATCACGCTGACTGCTGTCTCACTGGTACCTGGACTGGAACATGAGCTTTCGCGTCGAATTTATTGCTCCACCCAGTGTCTTGGAGGAAGGCAATGCTGATACGAGCACGGAGGCTCAGCACAATTCCTCGCGGCAGCCTGACATGGCACTTCAACGTACTCCAGAAATTCAGGGATCATAGAGACGTCTCTGTCCCTGACCGAGTTCTGCGCCAGCGCATGTAAGTTCCGCCTACGTCCGTACCTACTCCGGAGTAGACACCACCACCACGATCATTTCATCGCCCACACTCAACACATGCACTTAGTCACAACTCTAGCAGTACATCAGCAACTCTAGAACTCTATTCTCAAAATCAGACGCCAGAGCACTCCATCTCCCCATAACGCCCCCACAGACCCCAAACTCCAAACCCCCCACACCAGAACACCATGACAAAACCGCCATCATCGCAATCTCAACCGTAGACCCAAAGTCCATCCGTAGAACTTGGAACTAGCCACCACGTGCTCACACCCGCAATAGTGTGACAATCTCCCGTCGCATTCGCTTCCCAAAAGCCCATCTAGAACACCCTTCTGAGCATGCGCTTCGGTGACTACTCCGCATACTCCGCGACTCTTACACACACGTGCGCCTCCGCAAGGCTTGCAGACCCTAAAGCCAGACCCTAACGACGCAGCATTGAGCCTCAACCGAACCGTCGAGATTAGTTAGTTAAAGTTGACATGATTCAAGGTTTGCAAAGGTGCCATGTAGCGCCGAGAGTGGCGCCGTGGGCGACTATCGAGTCAAGCATTTGGGGTTGAGATAGTATCTTCTACTACTTGAACTCTAATCACCCATCGCCACGTGCAGACTACGGGACGGAAAGTTTGTTCGTTGGAAGACTGGTTACCCGCTTAGTTGAAGGAGTGATGTGGACCGCCGGTGGTGTTGGTATGTTGGTTACGATAGCGGCGGCCGCGTGCCATGTGGAAGCCACGGCGGTTAGGTTAGGGTATGGGCTATTGTGTGTGTGTGTGTGGAGGGGGTCGGCGAATGAAGGTGGCGTGTCAAACGCCGAAGAGGGGAGAGGGGGTTTCTGGGGGCAGTATGTTCGAGTAGGGGGTAAGGGTGAGAGAAGACTCCAGGAGATGGAATGTACTGATGCGATCGAACGATAGCGATGTTCTAGTATGTAGTTCTCAATTTCTTCACAACTTGTTTTATTCCTATCTAGACATACAGCTGCAATCCACATGTCCCAAACATCCTCTGCGAACACCTCCTACCACAGCTCCTAAACCCTGCCCGCTCCAAGCTGTCGCATGCGTACAGCAGGAGCATCACATAACTCCCGGCAATATCGTAGTGTCCCAGCACACGACATTACTCTCGTACTCACACACCCTGCATTTCCGACCCTCTGCACCAAAGATAGCATCCAATATCCCATACAGCCAAGAATCCCGCATGCTGCAGGGTCCCAACAAGCCTCGGAAGCGCCATCATGCAGCGTATGCGTGATGGTTGCGAAGGGAGGTGGTACATGTACACCAGAAATGGCTGGGCGAGAATGGATATCCCGAGTTGATGCAGGCCAAGTGTTTGTACGAGGTTTGAGGCTCTTTGATCCCGATGGGAGGGTAAGTGGATGGCGATGTGGGATGGGTGGTTGTGGACTTGCTCGGGATGGAGATGGTTATATGGGAGATACGGTGGCTTTGGTGGTTTGAAGGGGTTGGGCCTGTCGGATAATGTCGAAGACGAGGATGGAAGGCGAAGGCGTTGGGTTCATTGCGTCCATCATCCCAACTCAACTCTGCATCTCCCAAACCAGCGTCTCTCGGCCTTCAAACTGCATCAGCGTCCACGCGTTCTTACCCCCAAAAGCCTGCGCGCTCATTGCGAACCAGTCGTCCTCTTCGCCGTCCACCCCATCCCCGCCTTCCATATCCACATCTACATCCGTATCTTGCGTCCCATTAACCTTCTTCTCTCTCCTCTTAAACCCCTCCCTCCTCACCAGCAGAAAAAGATCGCGCATAAACGCCGGTCCCATAAACCCCCTCCACCTAACCGTAACCATACTCCTCTCCCCAACGCCTCTCCCCAGATCAGGCACTTCATACCGCGACAAATGCGGGTTTATATCATCTTCCGCCTCGACCCTCGGCGACCCCAACTGAAGCATATGAATCCACTCCAGCAACCCCATCGCCTCATCCTCATCATAAACATCCTCCAGCCCCTTAACACTAACCCTAGGCACGCGCACCCCACCCAACCTCCTCTCCTCAGGCCTCACATCACACACCCTCGGCGCATGCTTCTGTATCAACTCCCTCCCCTCCCCCAGCGCCTCCCTACTCGTGGGACTCGCATTCCAGAACAACCACGTCAAACTCTTATCCAACACATTCCTCGCCGCCCACTCCAACCTCCCAAACCCTTTTTTCCCATGCCTCATACTGGCTCCACGTAAATCATATTCCACAACCCACAGCTGTTTCTGGTGTTTCCTGCCCCCGTCTTCAACGGGTACGCCCTGTAACCCGCAGCGCTCGTACGACGGGCGCGTAAGCTCCATACGCAACACACCGTTGTACAATTCGAATCGATCGTCCAATAACGGTCGCCCTTCGCTCAGCATCATGATGTTGCCGGACTTGATATACGTGGTAAGGAAGTCGGCTTCGAGGATGTCGGAGAGTGACATGTGGACGTGGGCGTATTGGGTGAGGGCGGGGCTGTCGGCGCGGTGGAGTTCGTGGCTTATGAGGGAGTAGATTTCTGAGGGTAGGATGAGGGAGAGCGTGTGGCTGTATTTTTGCGCAGAGAAGGCGGAGAAGGGTTTCTTTTTTGTCGAGACATTGGAAGGGTCGATGTAGCTGGGGAGGAGGCTGTGAGAGAAGAAGATTTTTGTGTCGGGGGCGGAGGAGGGGCGGTGGATGTCGAGCATCGTGGGGTTGTATGAGGGGAGCGCGCGCAAGAGTGGGTGTGAAGGAGTGGTGGTGGTGTTGGAGTTGCGCGAAAGATGCGGGCGGGCCGAACTTTTGTCGCGTGGGGTTTCGGCAGGACGCGTTGCGCGGGCCTATGACGCATGGGTTGGCGCGTTGACATGTGAGCCATAATTTGTGGAATCGCAAACATCATCATTGGATTCACAGGGTGTATTTAGATTACTATGCATGTCTGATTCAATTAGACTACATCTGTGACTGACGTGTACGGGCAAGTCTTGCGCATGAACAGGCACCTACGCACGAGAGCGCATATAATGCAGGCTTTCGAATACATTTGCACCACGATAAGGTCGAGCAAGTCAGATCAAGGAACAAAATAGTTGCTAATGTATTCGAAGCGGCAAGCGAGACGTAGATTAGTAGGATGCTGACACGAAGCGTAAAGAATAGCCATTCCGAAGATAAATGCAATCTTGACACAGTAGTCTGTTACAAAAGAACCCAGTGTACATGACCCATTGATGTATTGTGTAGGGCCCATAAGAGATCCGCAGATGAGAGATCTACAATGTGCGTGTTGGGTGACAAAAAGTGTACTGACCCCACCGTGTTCTCAGGGTCTGGAAGGCGGAAAGCAATCTGAGTGGATGGTGCATGAGATGCGTTAGATGAAATTGCGACATGTGTACGTGAGGAGAAGTTTATTTCCATTAAACGTCTTTGCTGTTGTTGCGGTAGAAGACGGGTAATGGTAGAAGTATGATCGTGTAAGATCGCCGTTCATTCATGAAGATCGCGTCGGACGTTTCGTAGATCGCTTCTTTGCGATTAAGCGAACAGCTGCCTTTTGAGTTGGTCGCGGCTTGCCGATATGGTGCTCCGGTCTGAACCTAGTGATAGCACAGATGGAGCACGGTTTGCCAAACTGCTCCTTGCGGGCATTGTGAAACTCTCGAGTACGGTAGAGTTGTAGGGCCAGCGCTTCCACGTCAACGCGCAAGACCCACACTGAGCCGGGATTGCCTCTGATGTGGTGGGAGGCGAGAACAGTGGCGGCGGAGATGTGGTATTGCATCTGCACTTCATCGACTGTCTATGCATATTTGTCAGTTCATGCTGTCAAAAGTGGAGAGGATTACTGGGATGAACGCACTAAGGTCTGACGGTAGAAGCACCCTTCACAAGCCGTAATGATACGTTTGACAAGTGGAAAAGGATAGGTGTCTAATGCCGCAAAGCAGTAGATGCACCTCCGTGGGGCGTGTTGCAGCCATAGTCGACGATAAACGATATGACTCATATCTGGATGGACGGCACCGTACCTATCCAGTTGGGCGAATGGCAGATTGAATATGTTGCATTGTCGAACGAGATGCGAGCAGTACCCTTCCACGAACTCATTACATCGTCTGGATGTGCGCGACAGGGCATTGAATGGATGTGGAAGTACATGGAGAGAGAAGATATCGGCAGCCCAGCGATGACTGTCTGCACCTTGAGTCAAGTCTTCTTCGTCCTTGATGCTCCGCTTTTGCTTCTCCGACACGTCGTATCTACTCTGAGCCTCAGTGAGACCCGGCAGCCGACTGCATGGGTGAATGAGGTAGGACAGTATCTGGTCCACAATCTCGACAGGCAGCGTTTCCAACTTGCTCAACTTGACGTGGGAAGATGAAGGTATGACGTTGCTGTATTGCAGTGGATTGGGCAATGCGACTGCTCCGCGGTGACGAATTTTAGGCGAGGCTGGAATTGGATGTGGTGGCACAAGATTCTCGTGACTATCAACCAGCAACCGTCCAGTAGTAGGAAGCGAAGAAGGGACCAGCCCTGAGGCGACGGTAGTCATTGAAGCCATGAAGAGGAGAAATAATGAGCGACAGAATGGAAACGAGCAGACTCTTCACCTTGGTTATAGAACAGGCCGTGAACCTTATACAGGACAAAGGTCAAAAAGTGACGAGTAGAAGCATGCAGGACAGCGGAGCTTCCCACCAACGAGGGGAGAAGTGTGCAGAAAGCTGCATTGCTGCTGCTGTGATTCGTCTGTTGGTCGAGAATCCCGGGCAGCTGTGTAGCAGTGTGCAGCTCATGCACATATTTTCGATACTGCATACTGATATATGCTGAGATTGGCGAAGAAGAAGACGACAAGTCGTAGTGCATGTGCACCCAAGTAGTCCGGGTGGATAGCAGACTAGCAAACCGATGCGGCCATCTCCGCCCGGCCCCTTATCGCCTAGCGTCATGTATCATCAACTTACCCGACGGACCACCTTTCGCTCTGTCTGAGACTCGTAACACTGGCCGACAGCGAGAAGCGCGGGAGACAACACCATGGCTGCCCATCCCGACGAGGGACCCGCCGTCGCCCAGCACCCCGCTCCGCCCCCCGCTGGCGCTATCAAGGCCGACCCAGGAGCGGGAGGCGCAACCAAGCCCCGGAACGAGGACGCGCCCGCGCCTGCGCCCGATCAGGATGAAGAGGATGGCGGCGCGTGGGACCAGGCCTCCCTGTACGAGGAGATTCTAGACGAAGTGGAAGCCTTTGAGTACTCGGACGATGGTGAGTCTGGCCACTATGCGCCTTCCACTTCCACCACCATTGACACCCCATAGGCGTAGACACGTGCACCGCCGACGAGGCCCGTCGCTTGCGCCAGCGGCTCCATGAGATTGGCGCGAGCGCATTCGTCATGGAGAACATCACGAGCGAGAAGATGACAGCGCGCAAGCTGTGCACTGCCTTTGGCGTCAAGATTCCCAAGTTTCTCGAAGAAGCGCCCGACGAGAGCTTCTACCAGCTGCTGGGGCTGGCCATCAACCGCGAGCTGAACAAGCGGCCGCGGCTGGCCCAGTACAAGACCATCGACGACGCTGCGAAACTGCTGCGCGAGCGCAAGAACATCATGGTCATCACGGGCGCCGGCATATCGACGAGTCTTGGCATACCCGACTTCCGCTCCAAGAACACGGGCTTCTACTCGCGGCTGCGCGAGATGGGCTACGACGAGCCCGAGGAGGTCTTTGACATCCACAACTTCGACGAGAACCCCCGCACCTTCTACGCGCTCGCCGGCGACATCATACCCGATCTCGAAAAGTGGACGCCCACGCACGAGTTCATCCGCCTGCTGCAGGACAAGGAGAAGCTGCTCACCAACTACACACAGAACATTGACAATGTGGAGGCGCACGCGGGCATACGCAAGGAGAAGCTCATCCAGTGCCACGGCTCCTGGGCGACGGCGACATGTCGGAAGTGCAAGTTCAAGGTCCCCGGCGAAGACATCTTCGACTGTGTGCGCGCGCAAAAGCCCGCCGAGTGCAAGCGCTGCAAAGACGAAATCGCCGCCCAGCCCAGTAAGAAGCGCAAGCGGACCTCCAACGGCAACGGCGCCCGCAAGAAGCGCTCGAGCGACGAAGACTCAGAGTCCGACGGCGCCTTCGACATCCCCCAGCCCGGCATCATGAAACCCGACATCACCTTCTTCGGCGAAGCCCTGCCCAACGATTTCTTCGACCGCCTCAAGGACGTCGACAAAGACAAAGTCGACCTCGTCATCGTCATGGGCACCTCGATGAAAGTCGCACCCGTATCCGAAATCCCGAATTTCCTCCCCCGCGACATACCGCAGATCTACATCTCGCGCGATCCCATCCACCACATCAATTTCGACATCAACCTCCTCGGCGACTGCGACGTCGTGGTTGCGGAGTTGGCGCGCAGGGCGGGGTGGACGCTGGAACACAAGATGATACCCGAGGGGCAGACGACGGAGGTGGAATTGACGGATGAGGTGGATCACATTTCTACGGTCAAGGTTCATGTTCCTGTTATGACTACCACGAATGGTCATATCAATGAGCAGGCATGAAAACGATGATAAGGCGTTTCAGCATATACACATATCGATGGCGTTGCAAGGGTGTTTATATGGATATCGGTTTCGGCCGCATGGACGGCGACCCCGTAGGATGGGCTCAAGATTCATAACATGGAGTTTCGAATAGGCTTAGGGCGTTTGTGGTATGGATATGAGAGGAGAGGGATGAAGTGGCGGCATCAGAGATACCATGGAAAGACCCCACCTTTACATTGGGGGAGCATTAGTTGCAGTCTCCGTGTGATTACATTTGCTTTTCCTTCCAGAGCTGCATATAGATTCCCTTTCGAAAAATCCGATCCAATGACAACTTGAACTCAGATGCATTTTTCCACGTCATCCTCAGCATTATGGCGACTGAACAAGGGTCAATTGGTTTGGTAACAGCGTGAAATTTCGTAGTGCGATAACAAGTGAGTTTAAAAGATGTGAGCTTCTCAGGTTGTAATGTTACTCTCGCACGAGACATGACGCAGTCCGAGGTAGCACCGTGCGGCGTGGACTTCGTGCTAGCCCTCACGCGCCTCCCCCTTGCTGAACATCCACTGTCAACCTCACCCCATCTCGACATTGCGGCACTTCCATGATGGTACATCAGCAGAGAGCCTTGCGAAGTCGACAACGCCGTCGCATCATAGCGAACGCGCTGCTCTCCCCAACGTCATCGGACCCCTCCATCCACGCCTACAGACGACCGCGAAAACCTCAATATCACGATATGCGGCCATGAAGCTACTCAGACGGTGCTCGTTATAACTGCGCCGACGATGGCAATTGAGAAGTTTGCGAAGCCTGCGGAGCCTGCAGAGCCTGCACAGCGATTCTGTATTGCTTTACGCCGTAGACTGCAGAGACAATACCGGCGATCAGGCCTAGCGGGTGTCAGCTTCACGCACGCGACACATCCACATAGTGGACAGAGCTCATGGAGATGCATACTCAGGAATCCGAATAGGGCTGTCAAGAAAAGTCCTAAGGCAGCTATGGCAAGGGTGTTCCTTTCACGCGCATGCCTGTCGAACCATGCCACGATGCTGTTTGCTGCTGGCGGATTCTTTACTATGCTCAACAACGTTACCAAACGATCGCCCAAGTATTTGTACTCAAACTCCTCTGGCAACTGACGGACACGGCCCTCGTGGAGCTTAGCTTGCGGATCAAAATCGTATTTGTCGATGAAATTGTCGAGCGACTGAATTGACCGCTTGTCGTTCGGGAAGAGAAGATATTGTATGGAGTCGAGGGCTTCCAACAAGAGCTGTGGTGGCAAAGTTCCTCTGCGCAATGTAAGCGCTGCAGAAAGACACGCGTGTTGGGATGAGTTACTTCTCTAGACTTTCTCGAAACCCCATGTCAACGTCCTCGTCACGCGAGCGGTAGAGGTGCGCCTTCAGGAAACCAACCTGACGAAACACGTGAAGGATGCCACGGCCTGAATCATATACGAGGTGTTCGGCCAGGTTGTCGGTCGGTCGCAGCCTCACTCTGTACCGTTCCTTCAACTTCCAAGCTTTCAGCCTGCGTCGCTGTGCCAGGGCGCTCTGGCTCTCTTGGCGGACTTTCCGGCTCTGGACAGGTGGGGGGAAGCAGCGCTTGACGAATTTGGCGAAAGGTTGCTGCTCTCCCCAACATCGAGGAACGAAGTCGCCCACCTTGCGACCTTCCGGCAAGTATTGCTTAGAGGCACAATCAATCATTATTGATGCCTGTAGCAAGACTCGTACTGCGTGCTCCCGCGCCTCGGTACTAACATCCGCGGCAAAAAGGCCACTGAAATTTGCCTTACTTTGCGACGCATCGCGGATCAGGCTGTCGAAGAATGAGACCACCTCTCCGTGACTCGAATACGCCGGCTTCGCAACATTGACCACATAATCGCCGGACGATCCTTTGAATAGCATCGAATAGTAGCTGAAAAACATCGCATACCTCCCCGGTTCCTCCGCAGCGTCGTCACTGAGGAATCTGTCCGCAATGACTTTCTTTTCGGCTTCCGTTGGCGGCTCCATGCTGGCCTGACATACCACATCCAAACTGCATCAGAAGCTGCCCACCTTATACATCTGAAGCTTTTGCCCTGTCTGCCTGACAACACACTATGCATCTGGGTGCTCTGCCAGTCTGTCAGGGGCTGTGTTGAACGCCATCACCTATCAGCTGATGCGTGACCCCTGCTCTTCGACGTCATAAGACTACACCCGGCTGCCCGCCAGGCTTGCTTGCGACGGCACGCTGCGCCATCCCATCATCTACCGTTCTCCTGCATGCATTCGGTGGATTGGTGTCTTCGGATGCGCTCGAGTCACAGCCTCATCTCATTAGCGACCTTTCCCCCGTGCCAGACTCCGCGCAGACTACGGGCGGACTCTTCAAAGCTGTACAAGAACCCGAGTTGAATACCGTACGTCTTCTCACAAGGAAGCTCTCGTACATGTGGCGATGGCTACATCAACCTCGCTCTCACCAGGCTCGTCTGCGAGGACATCTATGTCGGCACCTGGGCAGCATAGGCAAGCTCTTTAACTACTATCGCAGGTCAAATAGGGCTCTGCTGATGAGAACAGGGCCTCTACACCAGACACCACACTTATGCCGATCACGCGTGCTCCTCCATTACCCCCTCATAATCAAGCTCCATACACAACTGGAGCTCAAGTCGATCATCCCTCACCTGCGGTCGCGTTCTCATCGATGGGTCCGCCCCCTACCCCGCCTCCTAACCAAATTGCCCATCCGCCCACGGCCGATCCTCTCAGAGACCCCAAACCGCTCTTGGGATGCAAGCTTCAGTCAACTGTATATGAGTACAAGCATTGCCCACGCAGCGCTCAACATTGCGCTGCTGCTCTGCATGTGCTGGATAGCTTTGGAAATGCCATGTACAATACAAAGCAAAGCTGGATGACGAAGACACTGAGGAAAGCAAGACTTTGCGACTTCGCTGGATTGGTAACCTTTACATTCGCGATGTGCGGAATCGCAAGTGCACCACCGGAACCTTCCATTGTAGTGTCGTGCCCAAACAAACTACTTCGTCGGGTAGAGAGAGAACTGCAGAGTCGCCATATGAAGAATCAGTACGCCGTCGGCGTTACATCCGGTCCCGCATTCACACTTTACTATTGCGGCAGAGATGATCCTGCGTTCAGATTAAGATGGTGCAGGAGCACTGTCTCTCTCACCGGGCCTGAGCAGTCTCTCTCTCTATGCGGAACCCGCATGTCGTCTGCCCAACACACTCGCTCTCTATATTCAGGCGAAGCAACAATAGCGTGTCTCCTCGAAATCAAAGGCGACCTATATGCTCTCGGTCCAGCCCATCTTTTCACGGAGAAGACCGCCGCCAAGTCTCAAGAGCAGCTGCTAGCCGAGCTGCTACAAATGGACGAAGATGATGATGATGACATCGCTTTCGACGACCACGACGATGAAAGCGATGAGGGCTATGTTTTACCCAATGGCATCACATCTGAGGAAGATACAATCAACAGTAACACCACAATACCCAGTGATCCTTCCCCTCCATTATCAAAGGTCGTCGACGATTCAAGTAACGACGAAGGAGCCCTCGAACACCTGATAATAATATATCCTGGCCCAGAAGACCTCCACAAAGATAATACGGACGGTGATTGGGCGGTCACACATATCCAGAAGCATCAACAACAGCTACCGAATCTGTACCTGCCTGAGGGACAGCAAGCTTTTAGGCTTCGACACATTGTAGACGTCTCCAGCGAGCCTTCAGGAGACGACACACAACTCATGTCCGAGAAATCTGTTCATATACTCACTTCCTCGTCGACAAAGCATGGCATGCTCCTCCCAGGATATGCGAACATATCTGGCCTGAGCGGACGCGGACATTGCAGCGTACATATTGTGTCGATGGCTGGCTCTGATGGTAACATTTCTCCTCAGGCTAGGCTTATTTAATTGGCTAACTTCATCTTACAGGTATCGAGGCGGGCGACTCGGGTTCTCTGGTTGTCGATGCTCAAACTTCCGTGGCGTATGGACATGTCGTGGCTACAAGTCCCCAAGGCGATGTATATGTCGTGCCTCTCTACACCACGATTCGCCAGCTAAAGGCATTCTTCGAGACCGCCAACGTCCGTTTGCCCGAACCTCTACATCTGTTGTCGCAGATTGCATTACACTACGTTACCACGAAGCAGTTCAGTCAAGCTGAAGAAGCTATCAACGCGTTGACCCATCTTGTGCAGAATGTTTGCAGTTCGCATCAGTGGGAGCGATTGGCATACTGGATCAAGACTTCCACGGCACGAACCAGCCTGCTGAATATTTGGGATGAGAGGCTGATGCAGGTATTTGTGAGTCTACCTCAGCCAATATCTGTAGAATTGCATCTAACGAACTCACAGCCCGACAGTCTTGAGAATCGTGGCGCTAAAAAGTGGCTGACGGCGACGTATGCTTTTCGGGAGCGGTTCCGAGCGGAAAACCTCAGTGTGCACGAGTACCGTTTTCGGCCTCATCACAGGTCCTTCAATGACTTTGCGTCAGCAGTACTCCCGCAGTTGTTGGAAGAAATTAACGCGCCCTACAACACGACCTCGCGGATGTGTCGACATACTCACGATGGCGTTTACGTGGTCAGCTTGCTACTAGTCTACAATCATGGCAATGGATATTCCAACTCCGGCTTCATCACCACGATCATCTGCGGATTATTATCTCTATTAGAGAATACCCCCCTCAACCGATATGCACGCAGGTCTGAGCTACCTCGCCGACTTCAATTTGCGAGATACCCTACTGGGCTGCAATACCTAACAATGACCTCTCCGGCATTCGACATACATACATGCTTGATGGTGGCGTGCTCAAGAGCCAGCCTGCAGTGCACCAAATCTATGCAGTTCAATGAGCGGCTTGGATGTCTTGAGCCGCTTGTAAAAGGTGGGCTCGCATCTGTATACCGTGCGACTCCATGGCGTGCAGATATAGACGGGAAGCGCATGTTTGCGGTGAAGAAAATGTTGAAAAGTACCACCACGATTCTCCGATGGTTGAACGAAGAGAGGATTCTCAAGAAACTCCAGACATTCAATGACCCGCATATCGTCGAACTACTGGACTCCTATTGTACCTTGGACAGCTACGTACTCGTTTTCCCACTTGCGAACAGCAACATCGATGGGCTCATGGAGCGTGATCTCTCTTCTTCCAACATTGAGCCTACGGCGGCCTGGGTGGTGGAACAGATGGCGGGCTTGGTCAACGCGCTCCAATACCTTCACACTGGAGACGACAAGAGTATATCGTATGGGAGACATGGCGACATAAAGCCCGAGAACATCTTATGGTATGCCACTGGCGAGGAAGGGCCGCCTTTTTCAGGAATACTGAAAATCACCGATTTCGGGCGCTCCGAATTTTCTTCAATGAGTCGAAGACGACTGAGCATTCACAAGGCTCTTTATGAAGGGGAACCCCCTTGTTACCTTGGTCCTTCAGCGCGTCAATATGCTGCTCCTGAATCCGAGATCTCTACAAGCGACCGTTCTGTTCGATCAGCATCCTCTGACATCTTCAGTCTTGGCTGTGTATATCTGGAAATGGTTGTTTGGCTTATTATGGGCACAGAGGCAAGAACACAATTGCACCAAAGCTTACGCTCTGACGTTCCGGGACGTGGAACGTCTTTCTGGCATCTGGACGTAACAGCACATGAGCTTTCGTTCATCCTGAAGCCTTCGATCGAGGAGTATCTAAAGAGGCTATTGGAACTTACGAAAGATAACGCAACTTTAAGGGATACTGTCTACCTTCTCGTTTACGGTGGTGCATTAGATCCGAGTCCTCACAAGCGTCCGACGGCAAAGAAAATGGGTGAACAAATCATTGCCTATAAGACGGGAAACTCACAGGCTTCAGCAGAACTCATTGAAAGTCCTGTGTGGACACGAGTTTGGATCCACCCATGCAACTTCAGTTCGCAATCCCGTCGACCATGGGAACAGCAGGATACTTCGTCCACGTTGGTCTGTGAGACACTATGTCTTCATTATACCGACATGGCGAATGATGAAGCACTCCACGAACAAGAGGCCCTGAAGGATTCAGAGCAATTTGAGGACACAGATGACGAATCGCAGCCAGCTGGATGCAACGGCGATCTAGACTGCGGCAGTGACCGCGTCCTCGGCCCGAAGCGACAATGCCCTTACTGCACTCTCGAAGCTCGGCCTGCTGCTCTCAAAGCTCATGTCAGGGCTGCCCACCGCAATCGCCAAATCCATGAATGTCCACAGTGTAATGAGTTATTCAAAGACACGAAGCATCTCACGCAGCATCAACGACAGCTAGGACCTGTGTGTGCAAGCGCCTCGATTTTTGATGGAGAAGACATGTTCTGTAGGGAACAACTACCCTCACGGCAGCTGACCCGGACTGATAGCGCAACATGTTTACGTGACCAGTATGTTCTAGGCGACAATTCTTCTGGTCGATCGCGAACGATTGAAACTGAATACCTTCCCCAGATGCGCAGCGGTGGAGCGGTGTCTAGTCATCATCACAACGATGCCGGCGGATCTTACGTGAGGTATTGACGTCTGGACTTTTTCTTTCCCCTTTCAAATGATACCCAGTCGAATTTTAAAGATTTGGCTCTGCTTGGGCCATCAAAGTAGGAGGTGTTGCTTGCTCTTCATGGGTGATTATGTCTTGCAGGAGATTCCCATGGGCTCTATTTTCTGCCATACCGTTTTATGGCTGTAGCAGGGATTTCTCAATTTCCTTTGACTTGGTGGCCAAAGTATAAATGACGAAATTAGTGCCTTGTCATGATGCTCAAATACTATTGTCCCAGCCCTACGCATCATGCTACAACTAGTGAGGCCACGCGTCGCAAGTCAAGTGTAGGGGAACATTGAAAGCCAAACATGTCTTGAATACAAGAACTCGAATATCATATTAGTCGTCTCAGTCGCGGCTTCTGCATGATATGTTTTGTGTCTACCTACCGCCATCGGACGTCACTGTCTTTACCATTCTCTATACACTCAATGCTTCATTTCACATCTCTTTCTTTCCTCATCGAGACAAAAGTTCCATTTTCATGCACGTGTCTAGTCTCGCTCACTCTATTGTTCGCATTCGACGTCACTGATTGTACGTCACAAGACTGACAGTCACTACGCGCTCTCAATTCTACTCCCCGTCACCATCAATCTACAGAAGTTTCCTTTGCCGGTTTACCGCTGTTCTCACTTCGTAAGCCAATCAGGACCTCGTCGTCGTAATGCGCGCTTTTGGTCCGTGCTTCTTGTTGTTTTCGCGCTCCCAAAGCCGCCTTCACTTGCGCCTTCACCTCACCAGATCAGGCCATATCACACGCCTAGAACGTTCTCCAGGCAACAATATGCTCACAGACTACGTCAGTCACCTGGTATTCAGACGCGCTAGCGCCGACTGCCGGTGATCTGCCGGCTCACCCTCTGTCTATATAAACCCCCCATCCCCTCGCCTCTCTCCCTCTTACTCCCCACTCGCTCAATCCCCCAACAACTCAAGTTTACTATCTCCAACAAACTTCAGTGTCATAGCCGCATTTGTCCAAGTAATTACTTCCTTTCCCTTCCTTCACTTCACTTCAGTCTTAGCTAACATTTTCAGACATCGGCCTTTACTCATGATGTATGACATCATCTATCAACAATCATCATGAGTAACACCAACATCAACCCTTCCTCACTCGACTGTCGACAGTCAACATGACTTCACTTCACTTCCAACTTTCAGCCTCGCCTTCAACATCACCGCCTCGCATGCCTCACACCTACCCGCCTCGGTCCAACTTACCTACCTCACTTCGATTCGACCTTCAACTATCTTGACACCCATATCAACTTCGGTCTACTCTACTACCACATCGAACTCGCATCGTCTTACTACATCGGCTCATTGCCTCTACTCATCGACATGCACCCTCACCGACGGCACCGCGGCACAGGCACCAACCTCTCTGGCACCGGCTCGATTCTCCCTTGACTGTCGACAGTCTCACGCCACCCCCGATCGTATGCGCGTCGCGAAAGTCAAGTTGTGGCACAGGGATGCAGGCCAGGCTGCATGGTCGGCCCTTGAGTTGGTAGCGGTTTGGATCAGAAGGACTGGCAAGAGCGGAGGATCAGTGGTGTTGGGTTCAGTCACTGTCACTGTTGGACACTTTCACATTGGATGTTGATGCCATCTCGAGAGTGCCTCGAGACAACAAGGTTGGAGGACAGACGGTCAATGGCGCTTGCGCTACACTGGGCCTCTTGTTGTTCTCTTGGGTGTCTTCGGACCCCAGGATGGTTGATCATCTTATCGGAACCAGATGGCGGCTTCTTCGGAAGTTCAGGTCAATTCTGGTGATGATAGTGGAGTGTCGGCATGTTCGACGAGCACTGTTCTTGACATCGCTGCTAGTGAGCCCTGGTTTGGTGGATGGTTGGACTTGATGGATTTGGTGGTGGTGGTTGGATGGTGCAAGGACTTGGTGGTGTTTGGATATCTTCTTGGTTGGCTGGACAAAACATGGACTTCTTGTATGGGTCTCAACTTCAGGGTTTCAACGGTGGTGGTGGTTGAGCTTAGCTGGCATTCTTGGGTTCTCAATCAACCAACTTTGTCATTACATCTTTTTCCCTTCTTGACTTCTTAACTTCGTGACTTCTTACCTTCTTACCTTCTTGCCTTTATATCTTCTACCTTATGCATTCTATATTGCCTTTGCCTACAACACATTTTCAAGATTTTCGTAATGCTACCTTCTAAGACCCTAGCATTCCTCGCTATTAAACTCTAAAGTTGATATTTTAGTAAACATCCTAGGCAAAGACGTGCGCGACATTTCTCTTAACCTTGCTTAAGTAGCATTCTTCTGTAGAAGAAGAGAATATAAGCGCTACACTGCAGGTAAA